AAACACCTTGTGGTGGTAGTAAGATGTTGTAAATAAACAGATTCCTTTTGAGTGTCTTCCAAATCAGTGTTTATTAAACAGAAATGCCGAGACAGAGTTTAAACTTACCAACACTGGTACAGCCTGCCTTGGACTAAAATAAGAGTGTATTTATACAACTAGGAAAATGTGGGAGGTTGCAAAAGCCTGTATAGGTCCATGTCTATTGTGAAGAAAAGCCTGCTAAGGAAAAATGAGGCATGAAAAGGCCCAAATGGAAGAGAGGAGTGGGGAAGTAAATATGAATCTTAACATGATGCATCAGATATTGAATAATGAAATTAAGCAAACATAAGTATGAATTAAATCAAATATAGGCTGTGTGTACTCTGCTGAACTAAATCAGGTAAAGATTTGAGAGGAATAGTGCTTTGCCTTCTTTATGGTATCTTAAAAGGCTCACCAATCCAAATAAAGTGTTGACTGTTGCACAGTTTCAGATCGTTTGTAGACACACAACAAATTAATCAAGAACAGCAATTGTCCTGCTGTTGTGGTTTAACCCCAGTGAGAAGCTATGCACCACCCAGTGCCTTGCTCACTTTCCCCAACCAATATGGGGGAAGAGAATTAGCTAGAAGAATTCAATAAGCTAGAAGAATTTTCAGTAAAACAACTGAAATCTTGGGCTGTCACCACAGGAGAATGACAATGTGATTTAAATACAAGAATTCCAGAATTCATAGAGATTTTTTTTTTTTTTCATTATTGTTTCCAAAGAGAAGGAGAGCTATTGAATTTCCTTTTAAAAGGTACAATAAATATATATATTTTCTGTTACTATAGACCTTCTCTTGGGTATCGGGAAAAGAGGGAGACTGTTGCAATGCTATGTATCGAATTTTTTTTTTGTTTGTTTGTTTTAATGCTTACAACCCTGTAGACTGAGCAGCTAACACCTGGAGAAATTTACTGCATCTTCATGCATGTATGACTGATAGAGGAGTTCCATTCACTTTCAGAGGGAATAATAATCATTGCCACATGCACCTGCATAGCCCTTTAAATATGGCTACGTATCCAGCTTTTACCTTAGCTAGGTGTAAATGCACAGACCATTATGGATCTGTGCTGTCAGGGGGACTGGAGAATCTATGCCTTCCTTCCAGCCAGTACCTTTCCCTCCCCCTGCTAGAGTTAAAAGATTCTTGAGAAAACTCTGGGTGTAGCTTTGGAGCACGTTATTTCTCCTGTCTAGGTTACCCACGCTGTCAGTCTTTTTTCTGTTCTTCCCCTTCCCAGGCAACATCCATAATTTCCCTCTAATGCTTCTCACTCTGTTTTAAGCACTTAACATTGTTCTGATTTTTTACATTGGGAAGCCTCAGCAAATGCCTACAGCAAGTGGAAGGAAGTTAGAAAAAGGCAGGAGAAATGCTGAATCTCAAAGGCACTCCGTTTATTCTGATCATAGGCTATAGTGCAGTGAAAGTCTCAATGTTCTGGTCTTGCAGAGCTCTTGCTTAGGAAGCAGCTTTGTGCGTGCTGTTGTATGTGCTCAGTAAACATCAGGGGCTTTCCAGATCCAGGCGTTCCCTGCAGCCGTCGTTCTGGTGATGTTCACAATATACCTTGTGCTTGCTGTGGCAGCAGAGAGGGACAGAGCCCAAATGCCGGGCTTGGAGCGTGGCATTGCACAAGCCTTTCAGTTCACCTGCCTGGGGTATTCTACGTTTCTAATTGCAGTGTAGTTTTCAGAGCTGTGTTCAAGCCGTTCTCTCCTGGTAGCAAAAACCAGTCGGTGCAGTTTTCATTCCATGCTCATTCTGACAACAGAAATAAGCACAGAGATATCTCATGATAGGTTAGCTTAAAATCACCACAGTGGTTTGCAAAGGTAATAGAGCTGTTAGAGATGTGCATAGAATTGCATCTGTTGCCAAGGAGTTGAACTTTGAATAGTGACTGTTACTTGAGTTGGCTATTTACCTTGCATATTTCTAATGAGAGGCCCTTTCTTCCATGGTTGCTGTAAATCCAGTGGTACTTTATGTAGTAATGTGCATGGAGTTGTCCCCTACACAATGATGGAATATCGTGGCAACTTGTAATGTTCTTAATATGCAAAATGATGGCAAATGGGTTAGTCTGTTAGCGCTGACTGCTGTCTGAACAATGTGCACCCACTGCAAAATGTCGGTGCTCTGCCCACTGCGAGTGGTGGATGGCAGAACTGAAATGAACACTCCCATTTTTACCAGGCTTAGAAGTTCAACCTGGATCCCTTTTTTATAAGGAGGGAATCTAAAGAGGGAGGAATAAGTATTATGAAAAATCTAATCTAAGCCAATTAAAAAAATAAAATAAATCTGTGTGGCAATAGTTTCAAAGGCCTGACTTAAATCAGGCTTGAAGCAAGATGCATCGGTGTTGATGCTACAGCTCTCCATCTTGCAGAGATGCTGCTGAAATTGCTGTTCTGCTGCTGGGCCCAGTGGCTCAGTTCTTACAGATTCCTGCTCTCTTTTTGATGGCTAGCTTTGCATGTGGCTCCTGAAGGTTTGGAGGCCTTGATCCAGCCCTCTAATGGACAGCTGCAGCCACTAAGGACTTGATCAATGCTGAAAGATATGACTGTGGATCATGGCTTGTTTGCTTTCCTACTTTGGCACTTCTTTTCATTCAACTAAACTGAGCAAAGAAAAGCACAGGTGGAGTGGGGATAGCTCTGCACAGCTCTGTTTGGGGTCAAGGTGAGCTCCAGTTCTGCTTCCGCTCTAGTGCAGATAAATCTCATTGTGCTTTGCATGTTACAAATGAGGTTTTATGGCATTTGAGGTTTCCTCTGGGCATTTTCCTTGTTTCTTGTCCTTTGGCTGTGACAACTAGCCCCCTGACCATTTGGGGGAGCCTTTTTCTACTGATCTATTTTATAGTTGTTTGGGCTTCCGACCTTTTTCCTCCTCCCGAAGGAAGGCCTCCTGGGCCTGGGTCCTTGTCGGTATGCAGGGTATTTGCTCATGGATTTGTCAGGAAATTCTTTAACTTGTCTAATTCACTGCATTTTTGGACTTTTAATATTTTATATTATGTTTTATTATTAAAATAGCAGCCAGAGGACTTCCAGCTGAGGTCAAAGCCTCACTGTGCAAACTGAAGAGGCAAGCCTGCTCCCAAGTGCTTGGAGTATAACTGGCTGGGATTTGGATGCCTGTATAAATTGCAGGGTTAATAGCTGTGCTTCTGCAGGTTCTTGGCTAGGATCCCAATGCACTTTTCAAACGCACATAAATTTAGCCTCCTTTCCTCTGTGGAAATCAGAGATTGTCTGTGTGGCAACACATCCCCTCTGGCCCACGTAATTCCCACACATGTACTTGTTACTGACATATATATGACAGTGGTCAATACAGGTGTTTAACTTTTTAAAGAGCCTGTGTAAGTCACTAAGTGCGTATTGATTTGAAGCAAATGTAAATTAGAATTAATTTTGACTTGCTAACGTAGTCAAATAAGGAACATTTCTATTGATCTTTGTCTCAGAAGCCAATTATCTGGATTAAGTGTTTTTATTACATGAAATATGGCATACGGTATTTAATCATGCTGCATTGATCGGTGTGCAATTGCATATTTAAGACAAGGACTGTAAGTAAGAGTAGTTAACAAGTGATTTATTTTTACAAAGTGCGTCTCCTTGTACATTTACCCCCCACTTCTCCCTGTTCAAAAGCCGTGCCGGTGACTACCCCCGAACGGGCGCCTGTTGACGCATGAGGATCAACAGGGATCCGTGTTGGCATCACCGCCGCTGCAGCTTCCTCCTCGCACCCCGCTCCCCCTGCACGCCCCCCCGGCGGCGGTGCAGCTCCTCCGAAGCCGCTGCCCCTGAGCACGAAGCGCTTTTGCCGCACCGCGCCTGGGTTAGGCAGGGCTCAGCGCGGCGATCCTGCCCGCAGGGAACTCACCCCGGGAAGGAGCGCGGAGCCGGCTGCTGGCGGCAGGAGTGCGCTGCAGATGCGGGGGGATCGGGGATGTGGGATCGGGGGCAGCGCCTTAGCAGCGGGCTCGGGGCTGCGGGGTCCTGCGGGGCCCGCTCTGCCTGGCGGCGTCCCCGCGCTGCCGCTTGCCGGGTGTCCGCGCCGCTCCAGCGCGCCGTGCCGCCGCTCGCTGATCTCGGTGCCATCCTGCCCTCGCCGCGTTTTCTTGGCAGTAGTTTTAATTACGTTTCGGGCTCCTGAATGAATTTGTTTTTTCTGGCTCCGCGGCGTATTGAGACGCTCGTCACGTTTGGGTGCCTGCAATCACTGATGCGTTTGTTTTAGGGGATGAATTAGTCTTCTGAGCCCGAGCATGTCCAATTTCTGAATTAGATTTCACTGAAAGCTGGAACAAAACAAAACACGAAGCGGGTTTGCTGCGCCCCCCACACCCCCGGCCCCCAGCGCAGGGGGCAGCCCCCCGCTCCCACCTGGCTGCAGGTGCCCAAGTCGGGCGAGCGGCAGCGGGCGCGGCCCCGTGCCCTTACCTGCGGGGTGTCACACCGGCACCGGGACCGGCAGCGGGGCAGCGCGCTGGGCATCCTCCGGGCGGCGGCCCCGCGGGACCGCCTCGCCCCCTCCTCTCCTCCGTGCGCCGGGAGCCCCGCCACCGGGGCAGGCGCAGCGCGGCCCTTCCCCGGCCCCGGCCCCGGCTCCCCCCGGAGCCGCCCGGTGCCCGCTGCCCGCCGCCGCCTTGCCGTGCCCCGGCGGCCCCGAGCTCCGCAGTCACGTGGCGCGGGGGGCGGGCGGCGGCGGCGGGGGGGGCGCTCCGCAGTTCGCGGGCTGCCGGCGCCCCGGCACACACACACCGAGCGCTGGAGGCTCCGGCGCGCCGCCTGCCAACCCCGGATCTACCGCCGTGCGTTTTTTTTGGTCCCCGTTTTTTTTTTTTTTTTTTCTTTTTCCTGTCTTCCCTCCTCTCTCCCCATCACCCGTTTTCCTCAGTCTTGGAAAATCCTCCGTGGGAATTTGGGATTTTTTTTTTTTTTTTTTTCTCAGGGGGTGTCAGGGCATCTTTCCCCGCCGCCTCGCTCCACCTGCCCTTGCTCGTTTTCTCTTCTTTTACCCCGTCTGCCTCTCCACCAAACCCGGGCTGATGTGCTGTGCGAGAGGCTGGAAATGGAAGTGTTGATGCTCTGGCTTTTCCCCTGGATATTTCAGTGCGTTTCGGTGCGGGCGGACTCCATCATCCACATCGGTAAGAAAGGGAGCGCAGGCGGGGGGGGAAGAGGAACGCGGCAGATAAATAAACGGAGGCATCGCCTCGTTCACCGCCGGAACGCGACGGGCAGCGTCTGAGCCCAACTCCGCGGAGAGACCGGAGGAGGGAGGGGGCAAAGACAGCCGAATCCCCCCGATTGCAAAGTTAGGGGCGAAATGCGGGCTGTGCCGGGCCGGGCCGGGCCGGGCTGCGGGGCGGGGACCGCCGGGGCCGCCGCTGCGGTCTCCCATGTGGCCGGAGAGCCCCGTGCCCGGACCTGTTTGCGTGGGGAAGGCTTTCTGCTCCCCCGCCGCATCCCCGCCGCCGAAAACAGCCAGCCGGCCCCCAAAGCGGGCAGGAGAGAGGCATCGTCTGAACGTGCTCGTAGGGAAAACTTTCGGGGAGATGAGCCCTCGGCTCGCATCCCCTGTCATAGCAGGTGTCAGCCGAGCCGGAATGCGGGGGGAGAACTTGGCTGGGAAAGGGTTAGAGAGGCGAGGTTTGCAGCGGCTCCGTGCGTGTGCGTGTCTGTGTCTGTGCGCACAACTGTTGGGGTCTGAAGAAGAGCTCCTTAAAACCCTCGGGCAGCAGGAAGGCTGGATCGGCCGTGGGAGGAAGAGAGAGGGGTGAAGAAGAGGCAAAGGAAAGGCTGCCGTGAACTTTTATGGCTTCTGGGAGCGAGGCACGGTAATGTCCGCGGGAAGCCTGGCAAGCAGAGGCGAGGCTCTGCAGTCACCTTTTGGCTGGCGTTGAAAGGTACCGGCAGGAAGGAGATGAGGCTGGTTAGGGGCGGAGAGGGGGGAGAGCATCACTTGTGGAAGACTGTGGTAGAGGAGGAGACGCGAGAACGGCCGGGGAAGGAAAAGCCGTCATTCCACCAGCCCTTTAGGGAGGGTGGCAGAATTAAAAAAAAAAAAAGAAATTAAAAAAAAATAAAAATAAGGAAGGAAGAAAGGAGGCGGCCGGGCCGTGAGCGGTCCTGGCGAGGGATGCTCCGCGGGGACGGGCGGAGAGTCCCGGGGCGGGGAAGGGGCGATCAGGAGCGGCCCCGTAATGCTGTTACGGGCGGGCAGCGGCCCCGGGGCCGGCGGAGGAGGCTCCGGTCTGCGCCTCTCGCCTCGGGAGCCCGGGGGCGCAGCCCAGGCAGACGGCATTGCGGAGCCATTAGGCAGCCAGGGGCAGCCCCGGCCGCAGCGGGGGGAATCCGGCCCCGGGGCGCCCCCCCGGGGTTGGGAAGAGCCCCGGGGAAGCGCCGAGGCTGGGCAGAGGGGGTCCTCGCGGCTCTGCCCCTCGGCCCCGCTTCTCCCGCGGGGCACGGTGTCACCGCAGCTTCCCCCCGCGCAAACTTCAGCGGCCCGGGCACGCGGGGCGTGAATCAGCAGCGCTTTGCTCCCATGCCAGCCCCGCAGGTCTGCCACCGCTCCGCAGGGCAGGGCGGCAGGGCCGGTGCGCGCACACAGCCGCCGGGCAGACGGGGCATCTTACATAACGCCCATCGCCAGCTGCTTCCGCGCTAACGGCATAGGCAGGAGGGCCAAATGGCAGCTGGCAGGTTACGGGACGCAAAGCCCGGCTTCGCCTTCGCGTGGGCGCGACCCTCCGAATAGCAGCGCTGCCCGCAGGCAGCAGGCGGGGGGCAGAAAGTTGGTCTAAATCCCAGGGCCGCCCCCCTGCCGGCGGTGCGGGTCCCGAACCCCCTGCCCGGCCCGACGGGGGACTCCGGGGCGGCGGGCAGCGCCCTCACCGCCTCTGCCTCCTTCCTCCCCGCAGGTGCCATTTTTGAAGGCAATGCTGCCAAGGACGACGAGGTGTTCAAGCAGGCGGTGTCGGATCTGAACCTCAATGACGACATCCTCCAGAGCGAGAAGATCACCTACTCCATCAAGCTCATCGAGGCCAACAACCCCTTCCATGCGGTGCAGGAAGGTGAGTCCCGGGCGGCACCCACCCGTGCGCGGGGAGCGAGTCTCGGCCCCGCCGGCAGCCCCGGCCCGCTCCTGGCGCTCGCCTGGAAACTTTTCTTCCGTCGGGGGTCGGCGCTGTCTTACAAGGAAACGGGAGGGATGGCGCGCTGCTGCGGCGCCGTGCCGTGCCGTGCCGTGCCGGGGCAGCCGGGCTGGGGGGGGCAGCCGCGAGGGACCCGGCGGGGCCGGGGGCTCCGTGTCGCTTCCGAGTCCGCAAGACTCCCTGCTCTCCGTGGCCGAGGGAGAAAAGCCGGGCAGGGCCGGGCAGACGAACGGCTCAGCCCGGTGGGGGGCTCCCGAGGGGCCGGGGGGACGGCGGCGGGGTCTCCCTCCCCTGGGAAGCAGAGGACGGCGCTTCCCGAGGCAGGAGCTCCCCGCCGGGGGGCGAGGGGAGACCGGGGTAGCCAAGTCGCCGGCTGAAAACCTGCCAGAGTTTACAAGATCTGACAAGTAGCAACGTAGGTAAATCATTTCAATTAGATTTTTTTTTTCTCCTCCTCCAAAGGGAAACGTTTAAATTAATCAGCTTGCCTTTACAAATAAGACTTGAAAAATATATTATTTGTGATTTAATGAAGCCAAGGTTAATTATGGCCTATGTTATTTCAGAAGCTGTGTTTTTCAGTAGTAATTATTCTAGAAACAGAGAGCTATTTATATACCCAGACTAGAATATTTAAAAAAAAAATGATTCATCGCCAGCCTTGCCCTTACTTTTGCAGAGCACAGAGTGAATCTTTCCCTTATGAAAATTTGCATTAATCCATATGTATTTATATGTAAGTTGTGTACATGCAAATTATGGATACAAAATTACATCAAATGTTAATTTTCATGAACTCCAAACAAATTCTTTTGCTATATTCTTTCCCCCGATTAGGTGCTAGTTAATACGCACATTCAAGAGAAACAACAATATTTACCTTTTCATGGGTCTGATTCCATTATAAATGGGATTCCTCCTACTGCTCTGAAAGCTTTGCAAGGAGGTATGAAAAATAAGCTTTATGAAAGTGGAAGAAGGGGACTTTAAGACAAAACCCCACCCACACAGTCACACACCAGAGGAAAATAAAAATCTCTAAATAATGGTGGTGTTGATTTATTGGCAAAGATTAACTCAGAACAATTGCATCTTCCTACATGTGCAAAAGCTCAGTGTCCTGTATTGGAGCTTATTCAAATTCATGGAAGTGACAGCAGTTGGCTGGCTGAACAATTGCTTTCAACAATGTCTCTTCTCAGAAGTAAAACTTTATAAAACTATTCTGAGCGCCCTGGGATCTGAGCTGACATTCTTGTGGACAGAGTCCCTTTGCTCAGTTTTGTTGAGCAGAAGGGAACAACCAACTGGAGGATTCTTCTTGATCTAGTAGGATTTTGTTGTTGCTGTTGCTCTCTTGTACTATTCTTGAAGATTCATATTGCATTTAAGAAGACTATCTTCAAAGGTACCTTGAAAATCCATACTGAAGCCACAGAAATGATTCTGGTCAGCTTTTTGATCTATTTGATACAGACTATTTGTGCTACCTGAATATACGTAAATAAAGATGTTTCTTCCTACCCTTTCCAAGATGCTCTTTCAGGGCTCACGTGTCCATTGCATTTAAAATTGCTCTTTGATGGTGTGATCACATGCTGGAGAATTAAGGAAGTGATCGATGAATGCTCACAGTTCCAAAGAGAAGTTGTCCTCTGTCACTGCTTAATTAAGGCATATCAAGGTGTCTTCTTTTGGGAGAGCTACGTAATGATCCTATCTGCGAGTAAAAACCTTACCACTGTGGGCTGTGGAAGAGCTAAGAGAAGAGTGTCAGCCTTTGCTCAATTTCCTGGCTTGCTTTGTCAGTTCAGGTCTGGTCTCTCTCTCTCTCTCTCTCTCTCTCTCTCTCTCTCTCTCTCTCTCTCTCTTTAAGATTTAATTTCCTACTTTTGAAACCGTTTTACAACATGCTGACAGAATGATACATGGGACACAGGAGTTGCTGGGCTATTCTTACCGTGCAAAGTTGCTCTGCCGAGTGTTACTTGGTGTCATTCTGACTATTCAGAATCTCATTGTATCTCACTGTACCGGTGCCCTGCTCATTTTGGTAGAATATTGCAGATAGCAGTCGAAATATCCTGGAGCAAATCCTCTGCCCACACTGCTTGCAGAATGTTGCTGCTGCTACATAAAATGCCCTGACATCCACATTATTCTTCTGCAGTCTTTCTAAGCAGTGCCATGGAAATCAATGTTGCAAGCATTAGTTTCATAGCGATGGAACTTCTTATAGTAAAACACAATCTAGAAATAAAAATAGACTGCTGTGACACTACTGCCAGAATAGTACACACAGTAAATCAAACCACAAATATTGTTTTTATTTGAATCATCTTTTATACAATTTTATGAAAGGACATTGCGAATTATTCCTTAAGACCTTTTTTAAAGAGCGCTGCAAGCAAAGGACCTTTGTTACAATGATACCGTGCTGGTGAAATTATGGGAAGTCATTTCTCTGTGTAACAAGGTCTATTACACAGTAATAAGGCTTTAGTTATGGATGGTGATGGTTATTAGCATGTGTTTGACCTGACCTTCCTTGTGCCATTGGAGAACTTCTGCATGGGTAGGAAGCATGGAAAAGCAGTGCCTGTTGGGTTTTCTCAACAGGAGCTGTGCATTTGTGGAACTAAAGAAACTAATTTGCCTTTTGTAAATGGAGTAGTTTTTGGTGATGGAAGGTATGGTGAAATGAAATAGGATTTTGAATATAAGGGCTCTAGGGACTTCGCTTTAGAGAGAAGAGGGCGCTATTCTGATAGTTTCTGGTGACTGCAGTAGGGAAATAAAATCAGAGGCCTTTTTCTTCAAAGACTTGTTGGATGCTCGTGATAATAATAATGGTTGTGTAGGGTACCAGAGAATAGTAATTATCAAACACTGTAATTGTGTTCCATCTTTGTCTTTTATTTCACCACACATTGCAAAAAATATCCAGTTGTGCTGATAGGTAAAAAGATTATTTTGGCTCCATCAAACTCATGTTTTATAGCAGAGTGTGGCAAGTGTATGGAAGGAATTTCAGAGGCAAGGGATGTGACAGTAAAGAACAAACAGACCCTGGTGTATTCATAAAATTGGACTTTGTTGTCTGTTTGTGCTTATGAGCAGTCGTTGCATTTTGTCTTATATTGCTTTTATGCATGTGGCAATTACTGAAGGGATAAATTGTTTTTTTCACTGGCTGTCACAGGAGAAAATATACGTGGGGAATCATTGTTCTTTTCATACAATTTTAAGGAAATCAGCTGAAATCACAAACATGATGTTAAATTATATACTAGCTTCTGAAGGAGCTATGTGCTCAGTTTCCGATGATGGGAAGGGAAATAGTAAGTGCTTGTTTGTGTGTGGTGTGTATTTAACCTAGTAGTGTGGTAACCTTTTTGTGATTCAAGCATTCAAGTGAGCTCAAAAGTACAAGAAACACTTCAGAGCTTTTGGTTCAAATTGGGAATTTTGAGCCTGCCATTGGTGTTGAAAAGTCACTTTGCGTGTGACATATGGGTGGCAAACAAGTTTCCAGCTGGGCTTGAAAACGTGATGGTATGTTTAAACTAAAAACCAAACAAATCTAATGTGTAAGCTTTTAAGATGTCACTTTTGAAGGGGGAATAGTCAGCAGTAGGTCAAAACTGGGGCACAGGAAAGCTAATACTTAACTTTCTTAGTGCTCTTTGGAGAAGGAGATCCAAGGGAAATAGTAATTCAGAAACTGTTTAAAACCCTGTTTCTCAGTGAATGATGCTTACACATCTATGGAGCTTTCCTGGAGCTGAAACTTGCTGTTCTCTCTGCATAGCAATTTCAAATGAATTGTTTCTAATTTGAGCAGCCTTGTATGTATGCTTGTTGATGTTAAAAAGCTGTCAGCTCTGGAAACCAGAACAAATTTGGAAAATCAGAATGTGATTTGAGAGCAAGAATGGTGTTCCATAAATGGGTTTATTGTCAATCCCATGTATGCTGCTGTGGTTTCAGAGCGACTCAGAGTTGCAGATTTTTTGGATGTCTCTTGTACGCCATTGAGTGAATCTGATCTCTTATAGTGTATAGGACTCAGGAATGATATGTGCTTGGCAGAGTTCTTGAACTGTCTTGGCTCAGCACATATATTTCAAGTTACTACCATGGTTGCTTTCTTACAGTTCTATTTGTTGAGAAGGCATAAGCCGATCAGAGTGGGGATAAGTAAGGTGAACAAGACAACTGGAGAATGGGGCTTGTTGGCTCCATTGCTATTCTTGCATTTATTTGCCTGGCTAAAATCCCAAGCAGAGCTGTACTTGTCATATGTGTGTTGCCTGGTAATAGGGAACCATGGAGGAGCAGAGTAACTGTATACTTACGTGTGTGAACGTATATTGGGATTTTTGCACATAGCTCATTTTGCAAATACGAGACTTAATGCAGATGTAGAGCAGGTGACCCTGACTAGAACCCACAGGCAGGTCAGAAGTTGTGTCCTGATTTTAGTGAAATATAGAGTTCAGGCTTCAATTAAAGGACTGTTTTCTCTGCTGGGAGAATTTAAACTTGAGTGGCTATTAAATATAGAAGAGGAAGACCTCTTTTCACAGCCGCTGTGAGAAGGTAGCCATCAGTCATGGTGATAACACTCCCCTTGCCCTTGGGTGAGCCCAGATCCAGCCCTTTTTAAAGCTGTGTCAAGTAGGTGTTTGTGTAAATGCAGGGCAAGGCATGTTGTTTGGCTGAGCTAGGGTTTCACATGACCCAGCAGTGAAGGCTGTAGTTTTTAGAGTCAGGATGTTTTAATACCAGAATGGACGAGTAGAGAGAAAAAGGAAAACATGACAAATACAAACAGAAATCATCTGGTAAAAATTAATAAAATATTACATATAGAATTATTACTACTCATTATTATTTTATTTTAATCCATGATTTAT